AAATATACTCCATGCAAATAGGAAGCAAAAGAAAGCTGGAGTAGCAGTCCTCATATCAGACAAAATAGACCTTAAAATAAAGAAGATTACATGAGATAAGGAAGGACACTACATAATGATCAAGGGATCATTCCAAGAAGACATAACAATTGTAAATATCTATGCTCCCAACATAGGAGCACCTCAATACATAAGACAAACACTATAGACATAAAAGGAGAAACTGACAGTAAGATAATAACAGTAGGAAACTTTAACACCCCACTCACATCAATGGACAGATCATCAAAACAGAAAATTAATAAGGAAACAAAAGTTTTAAATGATATCTTAGATAAGATGGATCTCATTGATATCTTCAGAACATTCTATCCAAATGCAGAAGAATACAACTTCTTCTCAAGTGCACATGGAACATTCTCCAGGATAGACCACATCCAGGGTAACAAATCAAACCTCAGTAAATTTAAGAAAGCTGAAATCATATCAGCATCTTCTCTGACCACAACGCTATGAGACTATATATCAATTACAAGAAAAAAACTGTAAGAAACACAAACACATGGAGATTAAACAACATGTTTCAAAATAACCAACAGATTACTGAAGAAATCAAAAGGGAAATCAAAAAATTTCTAGAAACAAATGACAATGAAAATACGACAACTCAAAACCTATGGGATGCAGCAAAAGCAGTTCTAAGAGGGAAGTTTATAGCAATACAATCCTAACTCAAGAAATAAGAAAAACATCAAACAAACAACCTAACTTTACACCTAAAACAAATGGAAAAAGAAGAGCAAAAAAACCCCAAAATTAATAGAAGGAAATAAATCATAAAGATCTGAGCAGAAATCAGTGAAAAATAAATGAAAGAAACAATAGTAAAGATTAATAAAGCTAAAAGCTGGTTGTTTGAGAAGATAAAATTGATAAACCTTTAGCCAGACTCATCAAGAACAAAAGAGAGAAAAATCAAATCAACAAAATTAGAAATGAAGAAGGAGTGGTTACAACAGACAATGCAGAAATACAAAGGATTGTAAGAGACTATTATGAACAACTTTATGGCAATAAAATGGATAACCTGGAAGAAATGGACAGATTCTTAAATAAGTTCAATCTTCCAAGACTGAATCAGGAAGAAACAAAAATTATGAACAATCCAGTTACAAGCACTGAAATTGAAGCTGTGATAAAAAAATCTGCCAAAAAAAAAATAAAAAAAAAACCAAAAAACCCAGGACCAGATGGTTTCACAGGAGAATTCTAACGAACATTTAGAGAAGAGCTAATGCTATCCTTCTAAAACTCTTTCAAAAAATTTCAGAGGAAGGAACACTTCCAAACTTATTCTATGAGGCCACCATCACCCTGATACCAAAACCAGACAATGACAACACAAATAAAGGAAACTACAGGCTAATATCACTGATGAACATAGATGAAAAAATCCTCAACAAAATTTTAGCAAACAGAATTCAATGCATCAAAAAGCTCATACACCATGATCAAGTTGGGTTTATTCCAGGGAGCAAGGATTCTTCAATATATGCAAATCAATCAACTGTGATATACCATATCAATAAAAACCATATGATCACCTCAATAAATGCAGAAAAAGCCTTTGACAAAATTCAGCACCCATTTATGATTAAACCTCTTCTGTACACAGAAAATTATAAGACACTGATGAAAGTAATCAAAGATGACATAAACGGATGGAGAGATATTCCATGTTCTTGGGTAGGAAGACTCAATGTTGTGAAGATGACTATACTACCAAATAAAATCTACAGATTTAATGTTATCCCTATTAAATTACCAATGGCATTTTTCACAGAACTAGAACAAAAAATTTCACAATTCATATGGAAACACAAAAGACCTCAAATAGCCAAAGCAGTCTTGAGAAAGAAGAACGGAGCTGGAGGAATCAACCTTCCTGACTTCAGACTATACTACAAAGCTACAGTCATCAAGACAGTATGGTACTGGCACAAAAACAGAAATACAGACCAATGGAACAAGATGGAAAGCCCAGAAATAAACCCATGCATCTCTGGGTACCTTATTTTTGACAAAGGAGGCAAGAACATACAATGGGATAAAGACAGCCTCTTCAATCAATNAAAAAAACCTAGGAATAAAACCACCATATGACCCAGCAATCCCATTCCTAGGCATATACCCTGAGGAAACCAAAATTGAAAAAGACACATGTATCCCATTGTTCATCGCAGCACTATTTACAATAGCTAGAACATGGAATGGATAAAGAAGTTGTGGTACATATACACAATGAAATATTACTCAGCCATAAAAAGGAATGCATTTGAGTCAGTTCTAATGAGGTGAATAAACCTAGAACGTATTATACAGTGTGAAGTGAGTCGGAAAGAGATAAATATCGTATTCTAACACACATATACAGAATCTAGAAAAATGACACTGAAGAATGTATTTACAGGGCAGCAGTGGAGAAAGACATAGATAATAGACTCATGAACATGGGGAGAGGGGAGGAGAGGGTGAGATGTATGGAAGGAGTAACATGGAAACTTACATCACCAGACGTAAAATAGACAGCCAATGGGAATTTGCTGTGTGGCTCAGGAAACTCAAACAGGGACTCTGTATCAACCTAGAGGCGGGGGATGGGGAGGGAGATGGGAGGGAGGTTCAAAAGGGACGGAATATATGTATTCCTATGGCTGATTCATGTTGAGGTTTGACAGAAAACAACAAAACTCTGCAAAGCAATTATCCTTCAATAAAAAATATAAATTAAAAAAAATGAATAAAGATCTCATAATAGGCAAAGGTTAAAAATAAAAAATAAACAAATGACCATTTCTGATGGGAGTTCAAAGTAGTACAACCTCCATGGAAAAAACAGTTTGGCAGTTCTTCAAAATCCAAATATAGAATTACCATATGACCCAGTAACTCCACTCCTCGGTGAAATTCTACTAGTAATTCTACCCAAGAGAATAGCATATGTGCACACAAAAAATTGTACACAAATGCTCAGAGCAGCATTATTCATAATAGCCAAAAAGTTAAAATAATCCAAATGTTTGATTAGATGATGAATGCATAAACAAAATGTGGTACAGTAATATACTAAAATATTATTCAGGAAAGAAAGAAAGAAGGACTTTATATGCTGCAACATAGATGAATCTTGAAAGCATCACACCAAGTGAAAGAAGCCAGACACAAAAGTCCACATTTGTTTGAGTCTATTTACATAAAATATAAATATAAAAGAATATCCAGGAAAAGCAAACCCACAGAGACAAAGTAGATAAGGGGTCACCAGGAGGTGAGGGAAAGAATTGAAACTGTTAACAGGCATGAGGTTTTTTTAATGGGTGATAGAAATGTTCTGGAATTATATAGTGGCTATGGCAGCACAAATCAGTGAATATAATAAAAACTACTGAAGAGTACATTTTAACCTAGTGAACTTTCTCTTACATGAAGTATATCTCAGTTTTAAAATGTTATTAATATTTTAAAAAGAAAAGTAAACAGGATAAGCACTGCACGAAGAAAATGACCAGTTTTTGTTGATAGTTTATCAAGAGGTCTTAGTTTGTGAAAATCCTCCTCAAACCTACAAAGGAGAAAAAAAAAAGCATTTTGATACTAGATACTAGGTAAAAATACTAGAGAAAGGTAGAAGAACCAGTAAAGGTATTGAGGAACTACGTCATCTGCAGGCACCAGCTTTGTCTCCTTGCTCACCTATTTGTAATCTTGCAATGAAAGGATAGTAAACACTAAAAACGCTTAAGTCAGTCCTGAACACCACCAGTCAGGTTAAACAATATCTGTAACTAAGGGTCAGGCTAAATCAATAGGCTTAGAGAAGGAAAACTGAGAGCAAATAAAAAGGAAAGAAAGCTGAGAGGAAGACAAATAGTGTGCAAAGAAAACAACAACAACAAAAAAAACACACCCCAAATCTTCTCTCTCCTTTTCTCTGCCACAGCTACAGCTGCCATTCAAAGTGGTATGAGTGACTAAACCATGTCCAGGGCTATGATATTCACTCTGGGACCAAAAACAAGACAAGACTCTTGTCCTCCAAAATTCACAATCTTATTGGGGAGATAAAGTAGTCTTTGCAAACCAACCAACAGTGTCAATTTGTGACATTCTACTGGAAAAAGAAATTAGAAAAGGGAAAATTACGGTGGAAAAAATAGACAAAAACGATGTCATGCAGGATTTGGACATAAGTTGGCCTTGAAGGAGAAGGATTCAGTTAGAAGCAAAATGAAAAAAATCTAGAGAAAGAAGTAAAATGATAAAAACCTAGAGGGGTGGGAAAGGGGTCTGTGGGAAGGAGGCTCAAGAGAAAGGGAACATATGTATACATACAGCTGATTCACTTTGTTGAACAGCAGAAATTAACATAACATTGTAAAGCAATTATACTTTAATAATAAAATTTCTTTAAAGTTTAAAAAGATGTAAATTCATGTTGATGTATGGCAGAAAGCATCACAATATTGTAATTATCTTCCAATTAATAATAAAATTTAAAAAAATTTTTTAAAGAAGCTACAAAAAAAAAGGAGTAAAAAGGTAAAGCCATGAAAAAGTATGAAGAGGTGAGGGGTTAATTTAGTTGGGAAAAAGTGCTTAGAATAATGCCATATTGTATTTATTCTCCCAAAAGACCACACATTGCAAGGACTCAGAATCCGTTAAATAAATAATAAAATGCAGTTTTTATACAAGCACTGATTCCTAACGTCAACATTTTACAGAAAAGGCTCAGTTCTACTCAGAGCTTTTTTTCTAGCACTCCTAGGTCATACTTGAAAATCTCCTAATTAAGAATTCCCCCAGCTTAGCATAAAATACACTGAAAGAAGTCACCATGAGTTACTCTGATCCTATGGTAATCTAATAAACATAGTCTGTAGCCTCAATTCAGGTAAACATTTAATATAACATTTCCACCTCTATGTGTATCTCCTTACCTCAGTTTCCTTGGGATTTATGTGAAGCTGTTTAGGGAAGGAAAAAAATAGCATTTAAATTCTGAAACTTATTAGAATACTCCTCTCAGAATACAAGTTTTATGTAAAGAGTTCAATCTGTTCTCTATGCATTGAGTGCTGGCATATATATTTCAAGTTAAGGACAGGATAAACTCTTATTTTGTGGACATAAAGAGTGTTTATGGCCAGTAGTCTGTACACACTGACAATCAGGAAAGTGATAACCAGGAATTAACCACTATCAGGACTGAGAAACAAGTAAATTCTAAATAATTTGTTATAGTTTACATTTTTAAAGAAAATCATATATCTGAGACACTCAAAATAAATAAATAAATTACCACTGCCATTTTGGGGAGATTTTGCTTAGGGAAGCTGTAGAATTCATGCTCTAATGAAATCATTTGAGTTGCTTTTTCTATGTGGTTTCCAAATGTCAAATCATATATGGTATGTAATGAACTCTAAATAAAAAATATCAGCTTTACCATTTCCAAAGACTGATGCAGTTATTTCATTGTAACTTAGAAAATGTACACAACTGTTTTATATAGAATTCCTAAAAACTGCAGCAAAAATTTTAATAGAGCACATAGTTGAAATAGAAAAAAATTTTAGTAAATATAAGTTCACTTATTATATATACACATTCATATCTTTGTATGTAAACAATATGTTTGCAAAAGCAAAAAGAAGCAAGAAAACAAACACACTTCTTGGAAACAACCAAAATGTTCCTTAATACAAGGACCCATTGATTGTACTGTAATACTCTATTCAATAAAGTTTTAATTTTACATTAGCAATAAAAATGAAGCAAAGCTACATATGTATATGTAGAAACATTTCAAATTCATTACATGGGAAAAATACATTTTTTGAAGTATATGTATGCATATGCATAATATTTCATCTATTCTAAGATGCTCATTTTAAGGTTTAATTGGCAACCTTTTTTCCTTTCTTTATATTTTTTCCTTTATGTTTTTACATATAGTATGGAATTTCCATTTATGTAATTGCATAAAATTATAATCAGTAGTAGTTTAGATTCAATAAAAATACATTAAAACTTTCTGGGAAAGACACACAATGAATTATGAATGATTACCTTGAGTGAAAAAGGCTGGATGAGAGAAGTAGAGGAAGAGTTGTGCTTTTCAATTTGATAATTTAATGGTTTTTTGAAAATTATAATCATGTGTATATTTTACTTGTGTTCTATGTGTCTGTATCATATACTATAACACAAATAATGTGTCTATTTTTCTCCTATATATCTTAAGACTTAAAATTTGGAACCTAAATTTCCTTCTAAATTTTAGGATTTAGCACGACTAAATCATCTGAAGTGAAAGGGCAGGTCTTTACTCCAAGTAAAGACGCTTTGCTGGCTGTAAGAGCGCAGAGGGAGTGCAGGGTAAAACACCTTTTTATCTTCTCCTGCTCATCCTTCCTTGTCCTCCCAGGACAACTTGCTGCCACACGCAATCATTCGAAATTCCCACCACCCCTTCTCTTTAAGCTCAATTCTGGAGGTTCACTGAACCTCCACAAAGGCATCCCTGGTCATGTCCAGGAGCAGGTTGCCATGTCAACCACACCCCTTTCTCTCGCGCGCGCCTCTGTAACCCTGTCCCTTCCCCGTCACTAAGATCTCTGCGCGCTTGGGCCCTGTAGCTACAGACACACCCGAGACGCCCCTCCCAAGAAAAGTGCACAACAGAAGAGGTGTGGGGAGATGACAGACTGCTAAAAACGCACAGGGTGGTCAGTACGTCAGGAAAAGGGTGAATGAGCAAGAGAACTGAGACAGACTAGCAGGGAAAGAAACTTCTGGAAAAAACCTGACAGAGAAGATGACTGACTTGGGTCTCTAGAGCCGTCAGTAAAGGACGGGAAAGAAAGTGAAAGACTCTCAGTCGTGTCGGACTCTTTGTGACCCCATGGACTGTAGCCCGCCAGGCTCCTCTGTCCTTGGAATTCTCCATGCACGAATACTGGAGTGGGTAGCCTGCTCCAGGGGATCTTCCCAGCCCAGGGACCGAACCCAGGTCTCCCACATTGCGGGTGGATTCTTACCAGCTGAGCCACCAGAAAGCCCAAGAATACTGGAGTGGGTAGCCTATCCCTTCTCCAGGACCTTCCCGACCCAGGAATCTCACCGAGGTCTCCTGCACTGCAGGCGGGTTCTTTACCAGCTGAGCCCCCAGCGAAACCCCAAAGGACGGGAAAAGGGGAGTAGTCTAGCAAGAAAGCAGGAAAGGCTCAACTTGCTTGGGAAAAGCGTCAAATTTAGTGGTGAGATCTTCGTGGTGCAGAGGAGTGGGGAGGAGACGGGAGCAGAAGACAAGCCTGACGGGATAGACATTTTGTTGGTCTTACTTTTGAATTCTTAAAAGCGGGAGTGGGCTGTGGAATCTCTCAGACGTCCAGCGGAAGATACTGGGGTCGGCCAAGGCATGGGGCTCAGCCAGGGGCCTGTGGCGGGCTGGGAACCGGGGAGGCTGGGAGGTGGGCGAAGAGGGAGGCGAGTCGGCCGGGGCTCCGCGGGGTGGCGAACCGGGTCTCCGCGCGTCCCTGAGGACGCCGCGCCGCTCAGTTCAGCTGCGCCAGGAACTGCTCCAGCTCGGCCTCCGCGGCCACCGAGGCTCGGCCGTTGGGAGCCCGAGGCCTGCTCGCTCCCCGGCGCCCGCGCGGTTCTGCCCGGCGCGGCTCCACGCGGGGCGCGGGGGGTCGTCGGGGAGGCGGGCGCCGGGAGAAGGGCGTCCCCACCCCACGAGCTCACAGGCTGCGGGGGACACTCACCGCGCGAGCCCGGGAACTTCAAACCTTTTTAAGGGCTCTCCGGCCACTGTGGGAGCAGGTGCCTAGAGATGGAATGTTTGAAGGCTGTGGAATATTTGGGAGGATTCCAAGGGCTTTATGGGGATTGACAGGACGTTTTCTGTGACATTTAAGTTTTCTGAAGTTACTTCGTGTCTCACTAGACAGCATTAAATGTTTTCTTTTTAATTTGTTTGCTCAAACACCTATGACTGGTAATACAGATAGTAGAAAGACAAGAAAACGGACTTTTCAAAGTTTACCCCCCGCCCCCCGCCGCCTTTTCTGGTTCATTTCTGCTTTTCCCGGTGAAGTGGCGTGATGGGTGTCCGTTTTAATTAGGTGTCCAAGTCAATATTTGAATGTAGAGCAGATGGAGCTAAAATGAGGACTGGAAGATCTGTTAACTGAAACAAGTAAAATTAAATAAGCCGTGGTCTATGCAAATTAAGAAATATAGCAGGAGAAATATTAAAAGGTTATAAAAGTTACTAGAATTTTCGTACCCAGAGATCGTGAGTCTTAATATACTTAATATATTAAGTACTTATTATATATACTGGTATATTTTATATATACATATATATTATATATACTGGCATATTAATATATTGGCATATTTTTAGTTTTATTTTCATCTACTTATGTGAAAATATTTTTGTGGGATCGTGTTCCCCATATAGTTTTGGGTCCTGCTTTTTATCTCTAAATTTTGACTTTCAAGGATTTTCATGTATTTTAACAGTTCTTTACCAGTCCATAGGGCTTGCCTGGTAGCTCAGATGTTAAAGAATCTGCCTGCAATTTAGGAGACCAGGGTTTGATTCCTGGGTTGGGAAGATTCCCTGGAGAAGAGAATGACAACCCACTCCAGTACTCTTTGCCTGGAGTATTCCATGGACAGAGGAGCCTGGCCAGCCACAGTCTATGGGGTCGCAAAGAGTTGGACACAGCTGAGTAACTAACATACACTAGTCCTTAAAAATATAATTTTAATAGTCCGTCTAGTATCTTATTGAATAGTTGCATCACAACTTTTTTCAATAAATTCACTTACATTTAGCACACAACCTGGAGAGGAGTGTGGGCATCTTGAGTGAGGAGTATAGAAGTCAGAAGTTAGGCATAAATACACACCCAGAAAGAAAGAGTATGGGTGTCCTCTCTAGTGAGGAGGAGCACAGTAAGCAGGTGATTTAAACCGCTTATATAGGACAGTTTCTCCAGGTCTTTGTTTATCTTTGGCCAATTATCTTGTTTCTTTTTCACCCCTGATCTGTCCTGTGATCCTCCCCAAGATGCCTGTATAACTTTTGTCAATATGGGTTCTACTGCAGAGGCCTCTGGGTGCATGTCCACACTTATTATGGAGTGGCATCTTCTTGCTTTTTGACTCCCAAGGAGTCTTTCTACGCATGTGAAAACTGGGAAGTTTCTCTTGACCTCAGGCGTGGTTGTCTTCGCTCTTTATTCCAGCAGAATAAACTAACTTTGTCCTTGGAGTTCTAGGTGAGAACAGAGCTTCATATTTACGCCCCTTGGCAAACACCAGCTGTCCAGCCCAGGGGCCCATCTGTCTCCAACCTCACCTGCATCTGGGCCCTTGTTGCCCAGCACTGGCCTCCTGTGTGGTACTCCTGTCATTTGCTGGGCTCTGATAAAGGGTCTCTCTCTGATCCAGCCTTGCTTCATCATCTATTTTTGACACTTAAAGAGTTATGGCAGATTTAATCCTTGCCATCTTCCCAGTCAGAGGTATAGCTGTATTTCGATGTAGTCAGATATAAGTTACAGAATATCATATCCTTTAAAGAGCCTGAAATATATCTATATGCCTTAACCTACAAATTCCTCTTTTGAAAATATATTCTAAAGAAATAAAACTAAACATGGACAGAGTTTTTGTTCCAAAGATGTAGATTGCAGCATTAGATTTGTTAGCATTGCAGTCCATGCAAAAGTTTCATTAACTCTGGCAGAAAACCAGGTTCACGGAAAACTACCAAATGATAACATTCCTGAGGATGCCTGCGATATGGGGAAAGTACATTTTCCATAGTTTGCTTGAGACTTAATAGAAAGAAAACACCATGTAGCACATATAAAACATTGAATGGTTAGACTGCCCAAGACCCTGAGAATTAAATGTCCCTGAAAATACAAGGAGGGAATGTATACAAAAACACTTAGCACAGTAGTACACAGTAATGCCTTAATCGATGCCAGTTATTAGTGTTAGCATATGTAGTAAAGAAAAAAATTACTGAACTGGAAATTAGAGGACTTGAATTTTAGGCCTGGGACTGTGCTACCCAATTACTCAACTAATTACTTCTGAAACTCAGATTGTGAAAATGCTAGAGTCCTCAATTCAGTTCGGTTTAGTCGCTCAGTCATCTCCAACTCTTTGCGACCCCATGAACCGCAGCACACCAGGCCTCCCTGTCCATCACCAACTCCCAGAGCCTACCCAAACCCATGTCCATTGAGTCAGTAATGCCATCCAACCATCTCATCCTCTGTCGTCCCCTTCTCCTCCTGCTTTCAATCTTTCCCACCATCAGTGTCTTTTCAAATGAGTCAGCTCATCGCATGAGGTGGCCAAAGTATCGGAGTTTCAGCTTCAACATCAGTCCTACCAATGAACACCCAGGACTGATCTGCTTTAGGATGGACTGGTTGGATCTCCTTGCAGTCCACGGGACTCTCAAGAGTCTTCTCCAACACCACAGTTCAAAAGCATCAATTTTTTGGTGCTCAGCTTTCTTCGCAGTCCAACTCTCACATCCATACATGACCACTGGAAAAACCATAGCCTTGACCAGACAGACCTTTGTGGACAAACTAATGTCTCTGCTTTTTAATATGCTATCTAGGTTGGTCATAACTTTCCTTCCAAGGAGTAAGCGTCTTGGGTGTCCTCATTTATAAAATGAAATGTGGGAGATGAGATGATCTCTAAGTTCCCTTCCTGTTTCAAAAAATCCTAAGTCCATGATGTTTGCTTTCATGCCTCATCATCCTCCTCCAGGAGATGATACTATTGACAGAAACAAAAGCATCAACACAACCAACTGGAAATATCTAGATGTTACAACATGCAATTAAAATACACAGCTTATCAATATTTGTTGTTAATAATTGTCCTAACACAGCCACTTGATCTTATTATCAAACAATAATTTAGGTAGTCAGTCATTCAAGTAATATATCTTGAATATATATCTCTCAAGTAATTATTCACAGTTCATTCTTAGAGCGTTTCTTTCAGGATTATTGGTTTATAGCTGAAACAGCACACCTATATTCTGTTTAGTTGTCCATTTTATTTAATAAAAAGACAAAAAAAAGAATGACAATAGGAACTTAGGCAACAAGTAAAACAATGTTCATTAAGGACAATTAACTACCATAAAATTATTTTAAATATACTCTGAGTAAATTTCCTAATCTTAATTTAACTAACAAAAACAACAAAACAGGTATATGTGCCTTGAAGTGGGTTGAATTATGTCCCCCTAAAATATGTCCAGTAGTCATGTATGGATGTGAGAGTTTTTTCCAGTAGTCATACATGGATGTGAAAGTTGGACCATAAAGAAAACTGAGTGCCGAAGAATTGATGCTTTTGAACTGTGGTGTTGGAGAAGGCTCTTGAGAGTCCCGTGGACTGCAAGGAGATCCAACCAGTCCATCCTAAAGCAGATCAGTCCTGGGTGTTCATTGGAAGGACTGATGTTGAAGCTGAAACTCCAATACTTTGGCCACCTCATGCGATGAGCTGACTCATTTGAAAAGACCCTGATGCTGGGAAAGATTGAAAGCAGGAGGAGAAGGGGACATCAGAAGATGAGATGGTTGGATGGCATCATCGACTCGATGGACATGAGCTTGAGCAAGCTTCAGGAGATGGTGGTGGACAGGGAAGCTTGGCGTGCTGCAGTCCATGGGGTCACAAAGAGTCAGACACAACTGAGCAACTGAACTGAATTCACTATAGCCTTGTGTTCATGCTCAGTCACTTCAGTCATGTCCAACTCTTTGTTACCCTAGGCACTGTAGCCTGTCAGGCTCCTCTGTCCATGGGGATTCTCCAGGTATGAATACTAGAGTGGGTTGCCATGCCCTCCTCCAGGGGATCTTTCTGACTCAGGGATCGAACCCAGGTCTCCTGCATTGCAGGCAGAATTTTTTATCATCTGGGCCACCAGGGAAGCCCCATTATATTCAAGCAGATTTTAAAACTTGGCAAAAATTGTATTGGTCATGTGAATTCCTTTGCAACTTTTAATTATTTAACTTCTGTTTGTGAGATTTATCAGTGTTAGAATGTGTTCCTCAGACATTTTCACTTATGTATATTATTCCACTGTATGAAAAGAACATAATTTATTTTTCTCACAGTTGGACACTTGGGTTTTAGCAATCTTTTTTTCTATTCAAACCTTGTCTCTTATACTTAGAGAGTAGGCATGATAATCTTCTGGATATATACTTAGTAGGACACACTGTCTTTAACTTGTTGTTTTTAGCCACTAAGTGGTGTCTAACCCTTTTGCAACCCTATGGACTGTATCCCACCAGGCTCTTCTGTCCATGGGATTTCCCAGGCAAGAATACTGGAAGGGGTTGCCATTTCCTCCTCCAGAGAATCCTCCTGACCCAGGGATAGAACCTGCATCTCCTGCTTTGCAGATAGATTCT